CAGGCTCCCAGAGTTAAACCAACATAAGAGAGAAATCAAATTTTCTATTAACCAACCATTGCTGACAAAGTGCAGCTTGGAACACCCCGTTCATCTGACTAGTTGCTATCATCTCAATCACATACTTTCTATTAAGATTTCAAAACTTTTGATTATATGGTAATAGTGCAGCGATCAAAAAGTCATGACCCTGCTTGATCAAGTGATTGGTTTCCTGTTCTGACTTACTTGAAACCTTCCTGGTCTTTGTGTGTCACTAGTTTTAATCTTTGTCAAGTTAAGCATTAGAGCATTCTGGTTGTAGCAACTTGTTTCCTTTTGGGCTGTTTAACCCTTGATAAGCGAGGAAACCCCCCCCCCCCACACACACACACAAAAGAAAAAAAAAGATCGTGAATTAAGATATGCATACCTTTAGAATGCATTACCTTCTGTTTCCTGTATTCCTTTAGATTTGGCAGTTTAGGGAGGTTAGCTATGACAGAGCTGCTTTTAACAGTGTTCTGTATGTTGTAACTGATCCCAAATGTACATGTTTGCTGTTACTCATGAATGCCACACAAGAGTATAGATTTAAGATTTTGCCTGCAAAACATGTGTGAGCAGTAGTGGGGTTCTATTTTCTCATAAGTACAACTAATGCAGAATACTATGTACATTTTTATGAAGCGTTTGCAGCTCTGGAAGTAACTCTTGAGTTGATCAGAAAATTTAACCCAGCCTTCCAGAAGTTAACCTTGCCTGTAATCCATTTTGTGGTGATTTCAAAAGCAGATTCTTAAAAAGTTTCTTTATCCCCTTCTTGCTTTTTTCTGCCTTCCTCACCTACATCCCCTTAGTCCTGTCCCCTGCACTACAATGAAGCTTGAAAGAAACACGTGGTCAGTACCAATGGGAACTTTTCACTAAGCCAAGCTGTAGTACGGGCAGAGAGATGGGGGAGGAATGCTACATCCATTGGCAATTTGGCCTAGATCCAGTCCAGCAGACAGCAATTCTCTATTCCTGTTTAATGGAAGTCCTTTTGGGCCACAGAATACTACAGAAATTATGCAGTGCATGTTAAAGTCAGTGCTGTTTTCCACTCTCTGCTTCATCTCCTGGTTCCCCAGCCATAATATTTCCACACCTAATAATCCAAATTATCATACAGTGGGCTGTCTGTGCTAATTGCAGTTTTTGTTAGGTAGCCATGCTTGCTCACCACTGCATATATAGCTTCCCTGCCTCATTGCCTCACCTCATCTGTGCCCCAGCAGGGCAGTAAAAGGGGCAACCATAGGAAGCATTCCTAGGATGCTGCTGCTGCAGTGGGAGCCCATTGACCCAATCCGCTCTACATGCAATTCAGGAAGTTGGGTGTTGGATGAATAGCTGGAGCAGGTTATTTCTCTAGATTATTTCTGGAGCAAATATTTCAGGTGGGCCTACCCATTCCTTGTTGATGCTATTTTGTCATTGCTGCATTGCTAATGAAGCAAACATCAGATGGAAATTAGACTTCATGTATGAGTTATGTGTAAATACGTGTTGAAGTATGATTTGTGTGTTCCCTATTTCTCACAGTACAGCTTGACAGAAGTGCTTTAGGATGACCTTGTTCATCTTCAGCCCTTTAAAAGTCATGGGATATATTACTGTTTCTCAGACTGAGAGCCAACAAAATGAACTGTAAGAAATGAGTGATTTCATCTCCTGGTTTAATTTTCACTGAATAGCAGCTGGAGACAGTAATGTAACATTAGATATGTTGAGATGTTGCTTTATCTTATTGCATGTTTAACCTGGATTATTTAGGATTGTTTAAAACCTCTAAATTTTTCTTTGCTGTGTTCTTCCTTTTGCTTATACTTGGGGGTGACAGTCAGCACCAGGTAAGAGCATGTTGTGAGAAAGTTCAAATGGTATCAGTTTCACTTTCTGAGAGTGGCTGTTGTTCTCAAATAGATTTAATCCACAACCCAATCATGAAGTGTGGCTGAACGTGGCAGTTTGAGTCACTTCTTAATTCTGCCACCCTCAAAGGTAGTTAGAAACCAGTGATAATTTCTACCCACACCATGAAACAGCTGTGGCGCATTAGGAAATGTGTTGCTATAGCCCTTGTCCTTCTGTTACGTTAAACCTGGCAAATCTTAAATTCTCCTGATTCTTTCAGTTCTTCAGTCCCACCCAGTCTGGCACCAGCCCTCAATTCAGGTGTCATTTTTTTCCATTAGAGAAATGGCCTCCATATTTATTTAACTGCACAATAGCTGAAGCAGACTGGGTGCTGAATGACGTTATTGTTGTATGTATATTGTAGTAACAGTATTTAGTTGGAGAATTTAGGTTATGCTGGTAATGCAACAAGGTTTTCTTTTCCTTCCCAGCACCAGCCTTTTGAATAAACAAGAACACGCTGTACTTGCCCATATCCTTCTGCTCCCTGAAACAGAAACAAATAGCATGACTTACTTCCCATCTCGTTTGAATCAGAACCTTCTTCCTCAATGGGAGCAAAGGCCTGAACATTCTTCTTCCACTGTGAGCTAGGAAACACCATCCACATGCAGTGTGAGGAGGAAAGGCAGGAGCTGGAGCCGGAGACTGTTGCCCTTCCGCATGGAGGGAGAGGCTCTCCTCCCCACGCCTGCTTCTGGAGTGGGATGCTTTCCCTTGCCTGTTTCTTCCCTAACAGAAACTCCTTCACTGACCTGGATGGAACAGCTTCCCCGTCTCACTTAATGGTTTGAAAGTCTAACATCAGTGGAACCTCTTAATCTTATACATATTTAACCTGCAGTCAACTTGAGCCTGTCAGTGCCATGCATATTTGAGTCTCATGTCCAAGCACTAGTACATTAGCTAAATATAAAGGAGATGTGGAATTTGCACAGTTCTGGAGCTGCAGAACTGTGCAATGTCTTGAATACAGAGTAATCTGCCCTTCTGTGCTGGATTAACTGTCATATGTTGGTTTTAAGAAAGCTCCCCACTTTTATTCAAGTGTAATCTTACACACATCAACTCAAAAGTAAGGCCCATTGAATTTAATGGGGCTTATTTCCAGGTAGGTAGGTGTAGAACAGTAGCCTTAATGAGCCATTCTTTACCTTATTGATCAGCTTTAAAAAATATAAATGTGTTGTAGTGGTTAAGAGTACAGGTCTGGGACTCAGGCAATCTGGCTCTAGTCCCCGCTCAGCCACGGAGCCAACTGGGCGACTTTGGCCCAGTTGCAGATGCTCAGCCCGACCTACCTCACAGGGTTCTTGTTGTGGGGATAAGACTGAAGGCAGGAGGAGGAGAATGATGTAGGCTGCTTTGAGTTCTTTAAAAAAGAAAGTGGAATATAAATTTAATAAGGCATTTACACAGTGCTTCATCACTTAAAGGTGATTTAGGTGCTGATATCTCCTCTTTAAAGTCTGAAAACATTCAAAATAAGCTCCTGGTATTGATTTACAAGGTGTAGTTATATAATGCACCAAGAGAGTAATGGCAGATGGATGACCAGCAGCCACTAGCTCTGTGGCATCTGAACTGGGAAAACTGCAGTTTATATTTACACAAGATCAAGTTTAGAGATGACTGTTTTAAGTTTGAATGTTCTACAAAGAGTATTCCTTTGGAAAGGTTCTTCAAATGGAACTTAGAGTTCAATACAAGACATGATATTAGCCTGAGCAACCCACAGTCAGAAATATGCATAAAAGGGCTAAACTAACTGAGGCTGTATGAGGGGACTTAGGCATTTTTGCAGTGGCCACTTGGTGTTAACAGATTAATATCCATGTAAGGCACCCTGTGTGCGGAACTGAGCATATGACCCTTTGGTTTGGGGTCCAGGTGATCACTGTGTTTGCACAGTTCTTTAAGAAATGTATAAATCATGCAATAAAGTTAGAGGCAGGCTTGCAAAATTGACTTCTCTAGAACGCAGCCCTTTTTCCCCCAAGGATTTTTTAAATAGAGTATTTGCTCTCATAGCATTGAAGTATCAGCCATCTTCTTATCTTTTCACTAATGATCAATTATGCGGCACATTCCAAAACTGGACCCCTAATAGCATATTTCCAGAACAGAACTTTAATTTCATGCCACAGAAAGGACTAAGTACTTACTTTTGTTCGGTCTGATCAGTGTTGACAGAGTGCTACAGGATCTTAATGTCCCTTTCAAGTGAAAACTGCTGTGTTGGTATACTCTGATGATCTACAGATGTATTCAAATTAAATGTTTAGTCAAATGTGCTGGAGACACTTGGGTGAAAGTATGACTTCTACAGTACTTATATTTGTTTTGTTCTGTGGGATATAATGGTGCTACAAGTCAAAAGTGTTTGTCTTTCTGAACTCCATACATCCTCCTCCTCTGGCCACTGATTCCCACAGCCCTCATGTTATCTAAGGCTGAATAGACAGCATGTACACTTAACTGAACTTCTATTATTTAAATACATTTCAGTAGAATGATGTGATGAAACATTACACTTTCTAAAAATCCTCATTAAGCATATAAAAATAAAATTATTTTGTTCATAAGCTATTATTTAGCTTAGTTTACCATGATATAATATGAGCCAGTGTGGTGTGGTGGTTAAGAGCACGGGACTGGGACTCAGGCGATCCAGGTTCGAGTCCACGCTCAGCCACGGAGCCAACTGGGTGACTTTGGGCCAGTCACAGACTCTCAGCCCAGCCTACCTCACAGGGTTGTTGTTGTGGGGATAAGATGGCGGAGGAGATGTAAGCTGCCTTGAGCCCTTTGTAGGAAAAAGGCAGGATATAAATCGGAAAATAAATAAATAAATAAATAAAAATATTTATTTTGGATTCCTCCAAAAATGGTTTGCATGTGAGTGATGGTGACTGAGCACACTCAAACACTGCTCCTGGTCTTATAATTCTAGCCTCAGGTTAAAACAAATGGTAGGTTTTATATGGCAGAACTTCCATACTTCCCTTTAAAGAGCAAAACAATAATTCTTGTTCATGTCTATTTTCTTCTTTTAACAGATCAGATGCCTAAAGGGCAAGAGAGCCTTTTCAGGCCCACACACTTTTGATGGAATTCATATTGTGAACCATTTGATAGGAGATGATGAGTCCTTGCATTCATCAGATGAAGACTTTATAGCAAACCATGTTCAGGAGCCTGAAGTCTGTTTTCACTTGAGCAGGACTGCAAAGATGGGCTTGAATCCAACTGTGGTGGACAGTAGTGACAGTGATACTGAGAGCACTGAAGTTCTGAGCACAATCCCACAGAAAGAAAAGAACCAAAAAAGAGTAGATTCTTATTCTACGATGGTGTGATCACTGTGAATGGTATTGGCCTTCATTCTCTAGACGCTTTCTCCATGCTCAAGTGATTCAATATTCTGTTCTTGGACTGACTGGTTCTTGCATCTTATCTGACGTGTGCTGTGACGCATCTTACCATCTGCATCTGCCAAATCTTTGTCCCCAACTTCTTGTTGCCATAGAGTAGACTGGGAAGAAGCTGGATGGATGATAAACTCTAACAGTATTAATGACTATTTCCTGTATGCTTCTCATGCTAGAAAATGCACACTCACACTTTCTTCCTACTCAAGAAAATAACTGCACTTTGCAAACATGAGGAATCCATACTCTTCAGAATAAACTATTCTTGTGCAATATTTTAATGCTCTGTGAACAAATATGATCTTTTTACATAAAAGTTTCCAATAAAGAGGGGAGGGTACAGGATGAGTTTATCAGATATGGTACATATCTGAGTGTCTTGGGTGGCTTATTTTACTTAAATAACTTCTATTATTGGAGACCACTGAGGTTTCCAGTCTACAGCCTTTACTTGTGCTATTTTATACATTAATTCATGGTCACACTTTGTTCTAAAGGATTAAAAAACACTTTTGTCAATTCTTATGTGCATCTGCTTTTGATGTGTTGCTAATGAAACTGATCAATGTATCTTAACTACAAATGTCTATTTTGTATATATTTATATATATCTGCCTTGCATAAAAATGTATATTGAATTTTGTATGGAAAGTGTAAATGTTGCAATATGGCTGGTCTTAGCATTTTAAAAGGAAAATGAAATTTGTGTAAGCAAGTAAAATTGGGAACTGTTAATGGGGGGTGGGAATGGCAAACAACACTAATTCTAGGTTTAAAACCTCAACTTACCAAATGATACACAGGTTCATGTTCTATTGAAATGTGTTACAAATGACACTATTGACTGAAATTTTAACTTTGTGTATATGTAACTATATAATAAATTTTTTCATGATTTAACATATGCATAACAGTTAAGCATTTGCCTGTTTGTTAAAATACAGTCATTTGTTGTTTTGGGTTTGGGAATAGCTATTGAAGAGTGGTAGAAAAATACCTATAATTAAGAAAAATACAATGAGATGCCCACCAAGAGGTGGAAATGTGAATTGGCAGTACAAGAATGCAAGACTTCATATTAGTCCTCAGCTGGCTTTGGAGTATATTCATTTTCCTTCATTTTGCTTCTGGTTTCTTGCTGTATCTTCAGATTCTCGGCTCAGTTTTGACAAACTGGGGTATTCATCCATTGACTGAGACCTCAAATGGTAAATTGAGGTAAATTTTGGTAAATGGAAATGCAGAAATAGGGGAAAGAATCTAAAGGACATTATCAAATGGAGCCTGTCAACTTCAGGCACTTTATGAGAAGGCAAGACTCGCTGTAGAAGACAATAATGCAAGGCAAAAGAAGACCACCATCACCAAATGTAAGATGGATTGAGTCTACGAAGGAAGCCACATCCTTGAGTTGACAAAAGCTAAGCAGAACTCCCAGGAGCAGGACATTTTGAAGGACACTCATAGCATTGCCATAAGTTAGCAACATCACATAGCAATACTTAGCACTGAGGAACTATGAAGGCATGGAAAATGAACTGGGGAAAGATGAGAGCATGGAAAATGAGCTATTGAAAAAAAGGAAAAAACCATGGTAAAAGTACCTGAAAAGAATGAAATGATCCAAGTAGAACTGAAGGGTGGATTGTATTTAAAAGCCAAAAATCTGAAGCAATATGAAGATAAACCCTTAGATACAGCTGCAAGAAGTGAATTGGAAATGTGAGTTAGTACAGTTCTGTTATGTAAAAACAGATAGGAACATATGCATTTTTGGGGCAGAGGATAGGAAAAGCACTGTATGAAGAGTATGTTCAAAAATACTAGAAAGAAAAGGTAGGCCAAGGTATATTAAGGATGAAGGATCAAAAGGTATTTACATTTTTAACAAGGTTAACAACAGCAAAATTGAAAAAGGGAAAGAAGCTGAAAACAACAATTGTAAATCTGAAGAAAAGGAAGAGGAATTGATGGGACACTCAGAAAAAGTGTAAATTGAGCAAGATACCAAGCAGTATATGAAGGGGGGAATTAATTGATGTGTATAATCAGACATAAAAAGCAGAAGGAATATCTGATAAAAGCAGTAAAAGCCATAATAGAAGGAGAAATTTTACCTAGAAAAACCCTTCCTGTGGCTTTCTTAATCCTAGTTATTTAGAAGATCCTATTGATTTCAGTAAGGCTTACTTCTAAGTAAATGTGTTTTGGATTGTAGTCTGAAGTAATCCACTTACTTCAGAATAAGCCCCCTTAAATTCAGTGGGACTTGAAAAAATATTAGAAGATTGACTGCATGTTCATTTATCTTTTTGAATTGTAATGCTTGAGTGTTTCAGTTCAAAAGGCCAAAACACTTCTAAACAATGAAACCTTGTCAGCTGAAAATTGCAAGAGAAGATATAGGTCTGTCTGGAAGGTTTGTTCACATAAATAGATGGTATCCAGGAAATCCTTCAACTTTACTGCTACTCTAACTTTCAGTGTTTGCTTGGCTATTTTTGTCAACATACGGGCATCATTAAGTTACATTTTCCCTGAAGAAATTGTTTCACTGGACTTCAGGCGGGGTTGGGCGGGGAGGGGGGACATGTACTCTTCAAATGTGAAATGCAGTTTCCTCAAAGCAAAATATAGTTCCTGTGTTCTAATTCTCACTTTCTTTGTAGATTGTATCTGCTGTTCCTTCCCCAGTGGGAATCCAGATACAAGCAGCTGACAACCTCTGCACCTGGTGCTGGGCAGCTGAGGTTGTCTAGAAAGACTCCATCGTGGGCACCAGCTGCAGGTCTCCACAAAAGCAAAGTTCTTCAATCAGCAGCATGAGAAATTCAGTTGAAGGTTGGTCATAAAAACACACTGAACAGTGAAGTGTAATGATCTTGCAGCAACTGCCATATTGAACAGGTGCTTGTGGATGAGACGGAGTGAGGAGCTGTATTTTGAGGTTAGTTTTCACTCCGTGAGGCTCAAACTATGCGTGACACCTACCAACTTCTCTTTTAAGCTGCAATCTGGGCCGTACACAGTTTTGGGGGAGATTCTTACTTTCTTTTCCTGTGGGCCATTTTTTCTATTAATTTTTTTAGCACATATCCTAATCTGCTTTTTAACCCTACAAAGGAAAATTTATGTTTCTCCAACAGGGTAAAAAATGAGGACGGGTAACGAAGGATATGACAAGTGACTCAGGAAATGAAGTGCTTAATCCACATGGACTCCCTTCCCACAGGCATGCTGGGGAAAATAGACATCATCTGGCTTGGTGTGTGACATTTCTTCAGCTGGACTGAAGGCCCAGAAATGAACAACCATATTGATGTCAAAACATTGGACAAGTTGTTCTAGGCATCCTGAAATAAAAGGTGTGAAGTGAACACAGGACTGCCATTTTCTCTTAATACCTCTGCAGTTTTTCATGTTTTATTTTTGTGTTTTGCTTTTGTTTCAGTCCTAGCTCTGCCCTGGGACTTGAATCCATGGCATCCCCCCCTCTCTGTGTGTGTGAGAGAGAGAGGGAGGGAGGGAGAAGGGAGGGTATATATGCATGGTGTGCATGTAATGTAGCAGTTACTTCAATGATGTTTTTAAAACTTTCTGCACTAGAAATCAAAAGACCCACTTCAAATGAGCATCTATCTGTACACTGCATGTGCAGAAAACACCATGTTAGAAACACATGCAAAGCTACCCTTGTACTGTACTGTATTTCATTCTTTCCTACATAATGTATAGCAGTACACTTTGCTTAAGAGTAGCAGAATTTATGTCCTAAACTAACTTCAACAGACACATTTGTTTCATTCTCTGCTTTGCTGAGCCACCAGAATTAAGTAAGTTTGAAATGTGCAAACATTCTAAAGGATCTGTTCTGGAAGTGACTAAATGCTGTTGTTTTATGAGATTAACATACAGTCAGATATGGGGGCATGACCAGATCCAAAGCATGGTTCACGTAATGAGCCTGTCAAGAGCATGTTTCTCTCCCTTTCCAGCAGATCTAAACAAAAAGCTTTTAAAGTACAGTCCTTTATTTATGCTAACACAGGAGGGGAGGGATTGTGATACAGGGTATTTCATAAGAGGGTTGTTCTCAAGTAATATCAATCAAAGTAACATTCCCTCTGATCTGTGAGAGCTCTTGCCCATTTCCAAACTGAGGTCAATTCCTCTCCTCCCTTTCATTCCCAAAAGGCTTAACTCCACCCTCAGGGAGGTTCATGCTGCTTGTGGGCCAGACAGCAAGAATATTGGACATTGCTTAACTGGGCTGCTTGTCTGGCTTGACATCAGCTCACTGGGTTGATGAATTAACATCCTTCCTCCTCCTCAGAACCTCCTTGTTCCACAGTGTCTTCTGCTGGACCAGTGGCAATTTTGATCTCAGCTGCTGCCTGACAAATCCTGCTCATTCACCTTGACAGTTCCATATTACATTCCAACACTCTGTTTTGCTGTACAGATCATATTCCACATTTGAACTTAGGGAAATGCCATGTTTTGAGAGAAATGAGTACCCTCTTTCAGCACTGATAGATGATTTTCTGTCTCTCTTTGTATTAAGACTTTGCCCTGCTGCTGGAATTCCAGTGCAAATGAATGTATCTGTGGCTGCTCCCTTCCAGTTTTCCTTAACAGAATTCTCTCCCCCCAGTGAGGGTAGCTGGGCACCAACATTGTCATCTTTTCAGGATCAGGCTAAGGCTCCCTCTACGCCGAGATATTTGAAAGCATGTGATGGGGCTTCTAAATTCACTTTTTTTAGAGCATAATCCTGAGGCTTCCTGATATTGTCTGGGGGAGCAGAGGATTAATAAGATCTCCAGCTCTCAGGCCTCCAAACATAGAGGCGCTGCCCTGCCCTGCCTTCCAGCTGGTACAGAAAAAACCATGCTAGCTGCACCTCTGAGGTCAGAAATCAAAGGGTCAGAGGGCTAAAGCGTCATCCTGGAGGGACGAGAGCTGGGGCTAGTGGCCTTGGTCCTATCTAAACAGCCCCAGCCTCCTTCCTTTCCTTTCCATGGTGCTTCTAGCTGGCCAAAAACAGCTCTGTCAACGACATACAGTGTGCAAAGCCCACAGTGGCAGAGCCTGCCACCTCTGCACCTTATGCTGGGTGCACAAATGCTTCTGTGTTCAGAGGCATCAAGGGTGGAAAATAAAGAATTATACCCCTACTGGATCCCTGGCACTTTTATTGTGGTTTTTGTTGTCTTCAATTGTTTAAAATCATTTAGCTGCTTCTGATCGTTTCAGCCCTTGTTATGGGATGCTTGGAATCTTAAATGCTTCTAATAAGTATGTGGTGGGAGGGAACCCTCTTTCTACAGTAGAAATAACTTTTCTCCTTACCCTGGAAGGGCTGTAAAATGTATACACATGTGGAGTTTTTTAGATGGGTTGCAATCCTGACCAAGTTCCAGCTCATAAAAAGCAAACTCTCAGTTTATATAAGATTTCTATGACTTTGAGTGATACAAAAACAGCATCCGGAAAGATAATGGTTATGAAACTTGCTGATCAAATGATCAGTTAAACTACATGCTTCATCCTTGAAACTAGGAAACCTGAAAGATAAGTAATAGTGACTTAACTTTCAGTGCATGATCTGTGATGTGTCAGCTGCCCATAAATCACCTTAGTCAAGTCAAAAATCTGCTTCCAGCATAGCTCTATTATGAAGAAAGAAGGGTGTTTCTTTCTGCCAGGAAGCGTCGCCTTCCTTCTCTTTGCTTTACCTAGCTTTTGATATGGAAGCATATAATGATGTAGCAGCAATGTTACAATTTAGATCTGGATGCAAATCCCATTGAATTCAATGGAGCTTCTCAGCAGACATGCACAGATCTGTACTATACACTGCATATATTTCATAATGTTTGTATGACATGCAAGTCAAGGAATGTCAGTGAC